AGGTGAAAATATCTCTTGATGAGCTGTCAACATATTGCATTGAATGTTTCATTGTAGTGACTGATGCTCAAATTTGATGAAAGCTGTCCACTGTCGTGAAACTGCAACATGAGAAAACACTTTTTAAATAGCTGTTCACTGTAGTAACTGATGATGCTGACATCTTTCCACTGTGTCATGTCCAGTGCGCACGATCAAGTTTAAAAGTGAGCTATTATTTTAAAAATAGCATCAGCGTGCTGTATGCTTATCACGCGGGCTAAGATTAACACCACTCACCTCCACGGCCTTTGTGCGTGCTACACGCCTCCACAATGTGATCAATTATCGCCATGCCTGCAAGACCACACGCCCGAATGCCGGCACCGCTGACACGGGGCGCGCTCGGGCCGCTCGGCACCTGAGCGTGAGGGGGGCCTCGTAATTAAGAGCTCCATTGTCGCCGGCCGCCGCACTGTTCCCATGCGAGCCGGCCAGAGATCAGGTGACGGCAGGCTGGGACCGGAGCGGAGAGGTGGCCCGGAGCCCGGGAGAGGGTGAGGAGGAGGCGGGAACGGGGGGAGAAGGGGAATGGGTGACCTCTGGGCCGGGCCTCGCTCGCCAGCTGCCGCCTGAAACGCAACACCCAAGCCCGCTTCTGCGCGCTCATCCACCTGTGTCGCTTACCTGACACGGCACCTTGCGGGAAATACAACCGGAGGGGTCAAACGTGCGCCGCCACATCATTTACATTGACGTTCATCAAGATACAGTATTAGCTTTTGAAAAGCTGTCCAAGTGACCGATGTTCAATTTGGATATGCAAAAATACCGTTATGTTTTGTTTTTTATAACTTTCCACTGTAGTGACTGATGCTGTTGTGGTATCGGGTGTCCAAAGCGCTCCTCATCATAACCTTGCCCCCCCCCCCCAGTAAATCCACTTGTAATATGTCGTACCAGCTAGCCAGTTAGCATTTACTTAACCTGTTGTATCTCGTCAGGTGTCCAAGTGGCCTAACGCCCTTTGCATGCTGATGTGACAGCGTGAGAGCCCAGCAGTGAAGTAGGAAAGACAAAGGTCTTCATACACTGTCGAGCTGGGCTTTACTGACTGACTGCTCAACAGTTGAATTTCATTAGCTGGCCAAATATTCCCTAACACATGCAATCACTTCCAGGCATTGTGGTCGAATGTAGCGCGTCATACTGAAATGTCTTTGCGCCCTAACATTCCTTTGTGACAATATGCACGACAAGGTACAACCCATTCTGACTCGAATCCGAAAATTCTGCTTTGAACGGCCAATTCGCATCGCGGTTGGAGCCACCGCTGATTCGCGCATCGCTATTGCGACTGTTATGCATCAAAATTTCATCCGCGCATCTTGCTTGCAATCCAAAAAGACAACACGCACTTGGGTGAAGTCATTGGACAAAAACTGAACATCAATTTAATCAACAAATCTGATTGGTTGGTGCACACAGAACCTTCAGAGCAATCCCTTCCGTCGCCGTGGTGATGAATAATTACTTGTGGAGTGTTTGCATTTGAGTTAATAATTAACGAGCTCCTTTTGGCCCCGTGAGCTACTTTCTATGTGTTTGGAAAAGTTTTGTGTGTGTGTGTGTGTGTGTGTGTGTGTGTATAAAGAGCAGGAGGTAAACATGTCCTACCTGTCATTTATTCATGAGGCACACACACATGCACATGCACACACACACTCGGTGCAGTGAATGGGAACAAGTTGCTGATGTTTTATTTAAGGAGATTTGTTTCACCGGCTAATTTCTTTCTTCTCTCCGCCTGCGCTTTATCAAAGGACAAATGTTTACAACCTTCACTGCGATAAACAACAATGCAGGTTGTTTTCCCCGACACCTTCCGGTCGTGCAAAATTCATTTTTTAAAAAGTTATTACAAGTAGAACCAAAGACTTTGTGGTGCGGGTCTTTTTGCCTTTCAGTATTGATCTGTGGTCATATGGGGCTTTGGTGCCATCTTTGTTGTCCGGGGTCATGGTCATTGATATTTATATGATATTTTGTGGTATATATTGGGTTTTGACCATTTGTGTCGTGCTTTTATCATTTGTATCAGTCGTTAGCATTGTTTTTGGTGTAGGTCATTGATGAAGTCTCTGGAATTCATGTTTTAAAATGTTGTTATTGGTCTTCAGTATTGATCTTGGTTGAAGATTGATGTTGAGTTGACGAATTTGTTCTTTGCCTCTGTGAATATGCTTTCAAGGGGTCGCGGCTAACTGAGGGATCGCGTGCAGACACAGTCACAGGCGTCACATCAAAGGCGACCGAGTTGGTGATAATGGCCGCCTGTTTGTTTGCAATGGGGAAAAAAAAAAGCAGCCTTTTCGCCAGCCATTTCTAAAATAAAATGGCCGCTCTTTGAAGTGTCACTTGTTGCAATTGACAGAACACTCTCCAGACACGTCTTCATGCATCGCAGACCCGGAGTACCTGCTGCCTCTCAGCGAGGCCTTGATTGAGCCTGACGCTCCGCTTAACACGCATTCACGTTGGCCTCACATTTTCCCCGCACGCTGACAAATGCCGAGCGACACGAGACAAACTCCCCACGGGCCCCCGTACTGGAACCTCTGACTCACACGGCGGCGAGACCTTCGCACGCCGTTTGGAGGGAGTTCCCCATAACTGACAGAGTTCTTTCTTTGGGACGTTTGTCACAATATTAGGCACAGCTGCACCACACACGACTACTGGATCAAAACCCCAAAAGGTTTTAATTAATTGGCTGTGTTTGTTATTGTGGTCGAAGCACATTTTGAAGCCTCTCGTGTCACTAAATAAGACATAACTATGAGAAACAGCTGTTAGTGTGATGCCGTGTACACTCACACCGCAAATAACAAACGAGTCGGAGAAGACTGTGATGTGTCGGCCCCCCTAGCTTAAATTTGAGGATATTTTTTGCCTCTGGCATCCGACATAGTTTGACTAAAGGAAGCGCCAGGGTGGGCGCTGTCAAGTGTTTCCTCAAGGGAATATCTCATTTATTTGTTTCTAATTAGGCTTACTTGGCATCAAACCATCACTCTTTACGGTACGAGTGTGCTTGCTATTAGGGTTTGCGGAGACAGGTGGAGGGGGTTCTTCGCCCCCTGGTCGGCTGTTTTGATTAGCGTGGAGCGTGCCTGTCGGAGATATTTGCTCAGGCTCGGCCAGGGCGGGATTACGAGGGAAAACACACTTGCGATCTGCGCCGCGTCGGAGTCTTTCGGCGTGCGTGTGGTCACAACGAAAGGCCCGCATTCCTGGTCTCAGAACCCCCCCCCCTCCCTTCCCCTCCCTCCCTCACGTCATACGAGGGGCTGCTGTTAGGGGGGGCCTTGGTAGCCCACCCGTCTTGTGCACAAAGACCCAGCTCAGTGTTTTGCATGCTTTGAGATGAACGGGAGGGGGGGTTTCGATGGCTTATAGTTAAAGAGGTGGTCCGGGTGAGGGTTAATTGAGCACAGGTGACACTACGCAGGTGCACAACCGTGTGTGTGTGTGTGTGTGTGTGTGTGTGTGTGTGTGTGTGTGTGTGTGTGTGTGTGTGTGTGGTCTGCACTCATGGTTGTGTTTGTTTCTGTTTGTCCTAGAAGAGATGACATCTTTTTTTTTTTTTCTTCCTGCTGGGTGCATGTTTATAGTTATATTAAAGAGCCATTGCCAAAACAAAATCATTGACAATATTTAAAACCAATGACAGAAGGCCAGCTTTCAGGACAATATTAAAAAGACCAATAACCAGGGTGTAAAAAAAAAACCAAATATTAAAAAAAAATAAATAAAAAATCATGTGAAACAACAAACACCAATATAAGAAAAATAATGACGACGATATTTGCAACAACATTTATTCAAACCAGAAACCCTTTTCAACGTTTGCATTTCTTTTGATGCACATCTGTTTTTACAAGTCCACACACAACAAAAGGAGGAACACAAGCGGGCCATTGTGCTCCTCGAGCGGCACACGCGGCCCCCGGAGGCTTTAAAAGTGACATCGAGCGGAGAGGCACGTCCGAGGAAACTGGAGTCCCGCTTCGGGACGAAGGAGCTCGGGTGGCGGCGAGCGTGGAAAGGGGAAAAAAAAAAAAAAAGTGGAAGTGAAAAGGAAGCCTGTGCTGTCAACACACCAGAGTGAAGTGTCCAATGCGAGAGTTATTCAAAATACGTGTGGAATAAATACATTTGCAAAAATACTTTTGAGATTTTGTCGGTAGAAAAATGTTTAGCTTCAAAAGCAGCTTTGTTGCCGTACGTCGGCTTTTAAATACAATATATGGCGTTGAATCAGTCGGTGCATTTGTTGCCATTCAAAGCAAAGCATCCATCAAACAAACACAAGTCCTTCCATAAATATCTCATTTTGATTGTTCCAGAAACACAATCTCACACTTTGCATATTTGAAGGGATCACGTTTAGGTTTAAATGGGGGGGGGGGGACAAACAAACAAACAAAAAAAAAACCCAGACATTTTTTGCATCAAAGCCAAAAAAATGATGAATTTGTGATTTAAAGTCACACGCGTCAAAGTTTCAAGTTGCAATGTAGTTTATCGATTGAACGTTGCATTTTTTTGGTGTTGACAAAAGATAACTAAATTTTCAATATTTCTCTCTGTTGTTTCGAACCAAAAAAGAAAATAGAAATGTTGTCTTTGATAATCACTTTACAGGATTTGTCTGTAAATGCAAAATCTGTGGAAAGCACGTTTTAATTTCTACTAATAAATTATATAATCTATCCTCAGTATTATTATTAATATTAAATGTTAATATATATTTTACTATACATAAAAAATGTATTCCTATTTTTATGTATGTGCATTATATTTATTAGACCTGGTAAAATATTTCTCTTTACATGTAGCGACATTAATTATCTATATTGGATGTATATGCATTTATTCATTTTAAATCAGGTTCCAAGGAATGTCAAAGGAGTTTATCAAATTCAAATATTGAGTTGACCGACGTTGTTTTTTTTTTGTCATTGCTTCATTTCAACTGAAAAGATAGCGAAATGTAAAGATGCAAATTTAGCTTTAGCCAATTCATTGGTGGAAGGTCGGGGGGGGGGGGGGGGGGGAACGGAACTTTCTCCCTGATATTCGGCATGTTGTCGATCGCCACATTCAGTCATCCCAGCCAAAGTTGTGCGCAGTCATCTGGTAGAACTTCATGTTAAAGGGCCGGTAGAAGTCTCTGAGGCGGCGCACCACCTCTGGGCGGATGTCTGGGTGGGTGCGCCCTTTGGTTTTGCCCAGGCAGTGGGGCTTGCTGCTGCCCTCCGCCTTCTTTAGGCACGGGAACCCCTTGGTCTGGTTGAAGTAGAAATGTTTGTCGGTGATGATGCGCTTGAGGCCCAGGAAGTCCTGCACGCGTCCCAGCTCGCCGGCCGGGTCGCTGATGAGCCGCTCGCCGCTCACAAACAGGATCTGCTCCATGGGGAAGTACTGCAACCAGTTGTCCAGGTGCTTGGCGTAGATGCCGATCTGGATGGCGCTCCACGACGTGTCGATGAGGCCCGTAGTCCTGTTCTTGAAGGTGAGGCTCTCGAAGGACGGAATGTCGGGCTTCTTGGACAGCGTCTGAGTGTAGTCCGAGATGGCCCGGGTGACCGGGTCCCGCACCACCACGATCAACTTGGTGTCCCGCGACATGGCCGAAATCCGAGCGGGTACCTCTTTGGTCACGAAGTAGCTGGGGGTCTTCTCCATGGTGATCTGGCCCTCCAAGGTCTTGGGCATCAGATCCCTGTCAGGATGAGAGACGGGAAAGAATGAATCACACGATGGTGTGAAATCCCGTCAAAATAGGAAAGTAGTACAACGTCAATACCGAGATTGAGCTCGGAGCTGACAAGCGGTATATCATGGATGGATGGCTCCCTTTCACACGGACACAGGAAATGTGACAGAGGCCGCTGCAGCTTCAATCAGTGAAGAATAACACGGGACCGCGTTTATTTATTTGATCTTGATCAGGTGTCTGCTGAGAGAGGGTGGTGCGGGCAAATATTGATTCTTGCAGTGTCGGCGTGTCCTGGGACGTCGGGACATTCTTGCGGTGAACACCTCCAGGATTCCACCACCGTGTGGCTTTCAGGGGTTTATGAAAGCAAGCTGGCTGCTCCCCGGGGGGGGGGGGGGGGCTTTTTTTTGTTTGCAGCCACATGAGGGATGTTAGGATGCGTGCTTGCGTGCGTGCGTGTTTTTGGCGCTTGCGACTTTCCCGTCATGCTGCTGCAAGTGCAACTTTTGAAAGAGGATACTTTCTCTATTATACAATGTGAAGCCCACTTATGAAATCTTGAAAAGTCTAGAGGGCCTCTCGGCATAATTGATCACCTGTTTAAACCAAAGATGAACATCATCAGCCCTGCGTGTGTTTTTCTCACTTCTCGTGCTTCATCAAGTTTATTTGAAATTCGGTGGCGGGTGGTGTGATTCCGCTCGAAGCCGGGAGCGAAGCAATTCTACTTATTCGACCGTTGATTCCAAACCTCCCTGAAATGAAACCCCACTGATGAAAACCGCGTCATAAATCCAGACTCAAATATTTACGCCGACAAAGCTGCGCGAAGACATTTTCTTGGCGAAACGTCCCGACCTCTCTTTCTGCACTCGCCACCCGGCAACGCGAAGCAAAGCAGGTAAAAAGCAAACCATGAATGATTAACAGCGCCTCTTTCTCCGCCATTTAGAACCTCTGCAGAATGCAGTTTTAAAATTCACCCAAGTACAGAACGCAGACGTCAATTATTCATCGGCCTCACCAGGCGAGGACTGAAGCCGACGAAGTGGCCGCCGGGTCGAACGTCCCGCTAAGCGCCCAGCTAAACTCAAGTCTGAAGCTACTTCCTGCAGGCTACCTGATCGAAAGTACCTTGTAGTCCAATTCTGTTATGGTAACGTTCTGCCATTTACAAAATCGAACCGCGAATTTTCCGAAATGTCATAGAGGCAGGACGGCAGTTGAGAGAAAGGAAATAGCAGCATCTACAAATGGCCACAGCAAGTCTTCGATGGGCAAATGCTAGCTGATGAGCTAGTCAGCTGAAATTAGCGTGCTAGCTAGCTGATGAGCTAGCATTAGCGATGCCTGCTGGAAATTCTCTCATCAAGCTTGATGTCGGCACTGACAAATCGCCTTCCTGCCGCTAGCGTTAATTTCAGCTCAAGGAAAAGCAGCCTCATGCGCGAGAACATCATTGGGTGTATGAAAAAGAGATGAGGCTGCGCTAAAGGAGGCATCCATATTTGATGCCGAGTGTCATGCTTGTTCTGTGGTCAATGTAGCAAAGGCACGAGGGGTGTGAAGGGCCACTCGGTTGGGGTGGGGGCAGTTTCAGGGTCAGTGAGGTGGATGGCGGTGTGGTGGTGTGTGTGACACGAAGCCAAACAAGTGCGCAAGTCATCGCGCGTGATTTCCCAGGACGGCGAACCAGGAAAAAGTCCACTCAGATGGCCAGTTTCAAAGAGCGGGATTGTAATATTATAATTGTCCTTCATGCAATTTGTTTGAAGACTTTTTTTCTGCTCCCGGGCTCCCCTTCTGTCAGCTTGGCCAATTCATGTGCAGTCCAGAGCTAGCATCGCACTCGCTCCTTGACCTCGCCGGGCGTAAGAAAGTGTTTGACCGCTCCTCCAGGTTTGACTTTGACGTCTTCATCTGACCGCTTTAAATCAAACTTACATCTTGCTGGCTCGGTTTTCCTTTGGGAGGCGAGCAAGAAAAACAGTGAGAACAAGACGACTTTTGGAGGAATTTGGATGCGGCGTAGGAACGTCTTGTGAACCTGTCAGGACTTTGACGTCACAGGTGGAAAAGAACAAATGGGATGCCAGGACTTGCCGGTTCGAAAGCATGCCCTCGCTTTTTCATCGCTCAATGCTGTCTTTGTAGGATTAAAAAAATAAATAAAAAATTGAATAGCTCGGATGCATCGCTCGTTTCCCGCCGCTCGTAAACGAACGTGACTCATGTCTGCCTGTCATACGAAAGCCGCAAAATCAACGCCTACATGCCCCGCCGGGTCTTGCGGACAATACGGCAGCCGCCTCCTGGCGTTGTCCTTCCAGGAAACGAAAAGCTTTGGACGGCAGCCAGCGTCTTGTCAATGGACAAGTGGCGGTAAGGAGGCAGAAGTGCTTCCTCCTTCACACGGCAGGCCCTTTTGATTCATTTTCCCTGCTCCCGCTGCCAGGCAGGCATAAATACACTCACACCCGCAGCGAGCTCCCCTGCCACTGCCAGCAGATAATCATCTTGTAATTGGCTCAATATTTCTGCTGTTTGCCGGCCAAGCAAAGGCCAACTCGCCGAGGCTCGGACCGCGCCGCAGATTTTCCAGGTCAGTGGATGCAAGCTTAGGAGGTCGCGGCGGTGATTTCGAGTAATGGTTTGCTTGGTGGTGAAGAGGAAAGCCCGACGAGCCTCCAGGCTTTGAACGTTCAAGATTTTTACCTGCTTTGCTTCCAGTTTGGCAAGAAAAGTAGAATATGATCGGCATTGGCCAAATGTGTTCATTAATTTTCAGTGAGATTCTGGGTCTGAATCTTATGTTGCAAAGTGAGATTGCCTTCGAGGGCTGAATTATCCTAAAATTCTGGTGGCTTGATAATGGAAAAAAAAAAGATTCCTTGTTTTCAGGCAGTTTCTTGAGACTTTTTTTGTGGGTCGTGCTAGACGTGTCAACTAGATTTTAATTTGCTCCTTGAAATCTAAATTAAAAAAAAAAAAAAAACAAACACTTCTGGGATGGGGCCTTTTGAGACAATTTGGGACCCCCAGACGCACTTGGTCTTAACCAAGAACTGTTTTCAAGTTTGAGAGTGCAAGAATGTTCATCTCATGATGTTACAATACATTATAATATTCCTTCCAGATGATTTTTTCTTTGCTAGCTTTTATTTCTACCAGTATGAGCAAACATTTGGACAGCATTCATCATCATCATCATCATCATCATCATCATCATCAAATGTGAACACAGAACCAACTCACTAGAAAAGATACATTGCCAGCCCCACCAACCAACTCACGAGAAAAGATACATTGCCAGCACCCCCGGCCCCCACCACACCGGGAAATGCAGCGTCGAAATGACCAGCCCCCACCACACCGGGAAATGCAGCGTCGAAATGACACGGAGGTAGATGCCTGTTTTTTCTCACCCTAATAGCTTCAACATATGTTATCTGTCACCACAACACATTAAAACGGATTTATGGCACATTGGCCGTCCATTTATTTCAATCAAACCGTTGCACGTTTCAGCGTGGCAAGCAGTTCGCCAACACTTTTATCCCTAAACGCCAGATTTTTTCCAGCTAATCCAAATCAACCTTCAAAGAACAGACGGCATTTTTCAAAATGTTTCAGTGGCTCAAGGATATTTGTCATACTCCTCTGAAGTATTTTGTACGTCAGTTCAAATGTGTTCCCGCGACAATACATTTATCATGGACATTTCGATCAATCTCACGATCAAGTTCCGGTTATTCTAAAAACGGACTTTTTTTTTTCTTGGACTCGTTTTTCCGCCCGAGTGACGTCGCTATCTCAGTTTGCTTCTTTATCAAGAAAAAAATAGCCTGTCATTTCCACGGCGGATGACTCCCAGACGGCGTCGCCGCATGTTTTTTTTTTTTTTTTTCTCCCAGAGACTGGATGATGGCTCTCTTATCTTGTAATTGTCTAGTCTCTTCAAATTGCTTCCTACCCCCGGACGGTTCTCATGCGCCACCCCGCTTGTTTTCTGCCAGTCTGGAGAATTTTGCTTTTGTGTGTGGTGCTTTTTTTCCTTTAAAGATACCATCTTGAAAACCTTTTCTATTATCCTGCTTATTCACTAAGTCGGAACTCGGGGGGGAAAAAAAAAATCCAAATAAACTTCAGCTCATGGCTGCCAGGGTTTGATCCCGACATTGTTTTGAATCTTTTGACGAATATATCCAAGACCGTGTCAAAATGGTTGCTGACATGTTTTGTTTTGTTTTTTTGGAGCGTGGAAGTAGTCTAATAGAGTTGCGCAATCTGTGTGTGGATGTTGGACAGATGATTTGGAAAGGCAGCGATGAACATCAATTGTTGTTTTGGACAACCAAATATTGGGCAATTTAATGCACGTCCTGTCAATATTAATAACAAGGGCCCCGTTGTGATTGATGTTTTGGCGGGCGCAGCTGATTCAGATTTTTTGGCACAATAAAATCCCCATAACCGATTAATGGGCCAATAAAAACTCTTTTGGTACCTTGACGCTTACAAGAACAAACATATGAATGACAGAACGTTTGACTATTTTGACAATATATTGTGCTTTAGTAGCTATTAATCTTCGAAAAGAGAGAAAAATTGCCATCGGATGATCTTTTGCCCAAAATATTTTCTGGGCAAATGTCTTGTTGTGATGAATGTGTTGATATTTTTTTGTCATCAGTTTTATTGTTGCATGACTCAAAACAATGCCTTTTAAGTGGGTTTTATTTTGAGTTTTCTTTTTTTTTTTTTTTTTGAAGGGTGGTAGCAGTGTAAAGGGTGTGGGTACATTGCTTTAATGAATGGGAAAGTCTGCCTGGTACTACGCTTTGTCGAACTGCCATAACATGAACATGTTTTGTGGTACACTTATCTGCTTTGGTACAGTTCTTGCCGAGGGTTTGCTGAATGTGTCCGGTGGCATCTTTATGCAAATATTCATTTTCATAATGGAGTTTTCTTCTGTCATAGAAAAAAAAAATCCATAGAAA